CCCCAAAACCCCAAAACCCCAAAACCCCAATGCCAGAATTTAGTTAGGCTTTAGTAAGATATATTCACAGCAGATTTTAATAAAAAAATCAATCATAATTTCCATTTTACTTCAAATATATCATATAAAATATAAAGTTATGGAGAAATTAGAATAATACAGTGGTAGTATAATGAGTCGTAGCATCGCTTAGAATCACAAATTTAGAAGAAAGGCTTCATTCAAGGAACCGTCAAAACCCTCGAATAGTTATTCTAACCGATAATAGCCTTTTTAACAACCCTAATTAACAAATCAACCAACTTAGACTAATCAGCCATCCCCAGCGATTCACATTAATCATCATAATAATTAGCTGGCTATTTCAGAACCTCCTCATAGGAATCCATCAATCAATCATATATCCTCACTTATCAAACCCTCAAATGGTCTCTCTCTTCCAACAACTAAAAACCAGTAAAATCAATAGTAATTCTCTAAGATCTAGAATCAGCAAGCTAAAACTTTCGCCAGGAGAAAAAGTCTTTCGAAATAAATCAAAACTGCAATCAAAAAAGGTAAAGAGGAAATTCTTCTAAAGGGTTAGCTTAAGTAAAATGACTCTATTAGCACGAATCAGGTAATTAAAAATTAAATTTATTTATTATTTTAAGTAGGATTAAGGCCAAGTTGATAATCCCCATTCTTAAAATTCATAGTCTCACATACAAAGTACGATGTTCATGACATTTTAAAGTTCTGAGAAATAATTTAAAAGGAAAAATAATGCCTCATCATCTGATAAGTACATAGATTCGGCACGATTAAACAACGGTTAACAATAATCTGGCTAAAATACTTTAGCATCAAACGGTGGGGCTTGCTTTTTACCGGATATTCACATAAATAATAACTAGTTAAAATAGACCCCTGATCCTAAAAAAACATCAACTAAAACATAAAAACAATTAGCCTTAATTGATGAAAGTACCAAGAATAAATTTAAAAGTTCCGATGAAGACATACACAGCTACTTCAACTTTAAAGAGTCTTAGAAATTTGTCTCTACTTCATCCACAGAGCCATCTGATGATTAACTTCTTTACAAAGGCTTAATAAGCAATAATAATATAAATACAGGAACCAACTCCTAATTAGCAAAAAATAGAACAACTCCAAAAGGAATAATTGGGTAAAGTGAAACCAGAAAAAATGGGGCTAATACTACTATTTTAAGCAACTAATATACTAATAAAGTATCTAGTATAGTCGAGAATGTCAACAATATTTATCAGAAAAGCAACCTATCCGCCTTTGATAATTATCAGAATTAGATAACTTCACCTAAGACATAGGTTCAGACAAATAATGAGTAAATCATATTATCTCTTTAGTAGCAGTTTTAAATTTCAAAAGCCCCCTTTAATTACGAGGACTCCAGTTCTCTTGGATAAAAATCATATAAAACTCATGATCTATATGCCAACAACGCTTATCAGTCCCCAAATATCAAAGGGCCAAAATACCAAAGAAAAGTATCACTAGAAGAATCTATTACGGATAATAGCCTTAATCCTTAATCATTAGTCTCTTCAAAAGACAATTTTCATATGACTGCATAATTATCATCAAAGATTAATTCTGCATAGCTCAGTAAATTACAACTTGCTTATTGTTAAGATGAACATAATCTCAATTATCAAATCTAGCCTTAGGCAACTAATCCCTAAAAATACAAGTCATCTGTGAATCTTGAAGAGTGTAAATAAAGCAAGCTAGATGACAATATTACTAAGAGAGTATTGCTATCTAAATAAGACATAAAATTAGGAAGCTAGAAGCAAGGAGTAAAGATATAGAGAGTTACTAAGAATGTTTTAAGGCAATCTACAGAAAAGTACCAATTTCCACCAGATGAGATTGCTCCATTTAGACAAGATTTGAATTATGATTAGTATCTATAACCTCGCACAGATTGTATATATGAATTCTAAAGTAAAAGATTAGATTTTCGAAGAAGACCAAGCAATAAAGACTCTCAGATAGTGATAATTCATTTCGATGGACTCGTTGGAGAAATTAATCAGAAGAATCTTGGAGATGACTCTTACTAATTAGTACTGAGACATGGTTCGGTTGAGGGTCTCTAAGAACTGAGCAAAAACTTCTAGATAGCAATTCTCACAACATTAAACTAAAAGTATTGCAGATTATTAATAGAACTTCTAGATAAAGAGGATATAGTATTTGATGGCATATATCAAAGAGTGAAAACATTCAGAAGATCTGATGAGCATTACAATTATAACCAAATATATATTGACTTTGACATTCACAATGAGGGTGAGGAATATAGCGATAAAGTTCAATAAAATGTGATAATATTAGCACCTATATTTATGGATAATGAGGATATCAGAGATAAAGATGGGGACGATTTGCTTTTTTAAGAGAAATAGCTGTCTATGTAAGTTAACAGAAGTCTAAATTTCAAAGGATTACCAATAGATTCTAAAGATAAGACTCCTATAACATTATTGATACCTCATTTAAGGGCTCATTCTTGCAATTACTCAGTTTCAATGCTCAATATTGGGAACATTGTTCAAAGTTTATTGTTCACATCATGCTAGGTAAAGGAAGATCAACCAAGAGAAGTTGAGATTGAATCCTATAAGGATCGTGAATACCATCTTAGAATGCTTAGAGAGGAAGAATGCAGTAATAAGAATCATAGCAGGTCCTCTTCACCTAAAAGATCACCTTCAAAGACACAGAGCACTCTTCAATAAAAAGGTCTTTTTATGATGACCATAACAACAATATCCCCTAAAAATCACTTTAAAAAAATACTTGCTAGCACGAGAGACAAAATACTAGATTAGAAATCATGCAATTGGCTATAAGCTTACTATTAGGTGAAAAAGTACAAACTTTTCTCTCTTAAGACTGTGACTAGCATGAAACCCTTACCGGAGTTCTTGTAAAAAAGAAAAGAAGATGACATAATTAAGCTCAAGCAAACAATTTTTAAGCTAAAGGCACTTTATCAGTCTCACATAGATAAAACTAATCACTAAGAATTGTTAATCAAAACTCCTCAAACTCATGAACTTTTGATTAACAATGACTGGGTTAAGTAATCTATTATGCAGTATAAAAATGAATACTACAATAATTTAGCTTAGCTTCTACAAGATTAATCTTAAAATCCACTAAAGGAATTGATAGCTGATCTCGAGGAAAGACTTTTGTAAATCTAAAATCAAACTTACTCAGCAGACTATCCAAAAAGTGAAATCCCTCTCTACAGGTTCTTGGTTTTGTAGGGTCATTAATTCTAGAATTATCCCTGTGAAACAAAGATGATTATAAAAGAAAAGGAGACGAATCTATAGAGAAATCTTTATAACTGGGTAGTTTAGAGTACAAGCTACACAGTGACAAGCAGAAATGCTTAGAAAAAGACTTTTACTAATCCTCTAAGTGTACTAAATGGCAGAGAAGGAAGCAATCAGCAGTCTATATAGTAAGATACTCATTTTATGCCGGGCTATAGAATATTCTCAGATCAGTATCAATGAAAGTCTAAGTTATTTTGAGTTATCATATAGACTTAGACGCTATGATAAGTATAAAATATTCCTAAATATCTGAAAAATAATAAATATACTATCCTTATATCATCATTTAATTTTGCTAATCGTTTAATATCAGCTTTTAATTTAATTTCCGTGTTTCGGGGTTTTGGGGTTTTGGGGTTTTGGGG